TATGTATGTATATACATAGACATACGATAAATACATTTATAGTGTTATATATATTATATATATATATATATATATAATATATATATATTATATGTAATTATATGTATTATATATGTATATATATATAAATAAATATATAATATATTATATATATATATACATACTATATATACTATATTATGTATATATATATATATATATAATATATATATATTATATAGATAATATATATGTAGGCACACATAATATATACATATATATATATATATACTATATATATATATATATATATATATATATATGTGTGTGTGTGTGTGTGTGTGTGTGTGTGTGTGTGTGTGTGTGTGTGTGTGTGTGTGTGTGTGTGTGTGTGTGTGTGTGTGTGTGTGTGTGTGTGTGTGTGTATAGTATATATATATATATATATATATATATATATATATATATATATATATATATATACGCGCAAACACATACATATGTTTTGCTTTTCAGTACAGTCTATAATTCCTCTGCTGCTACTGTACGTAGCTCTTACCTCTAAACATACATAAGCACACGCCACTTGTACAAACAATAAAACACAAACACTAAATTTCAAACATTTATTAATATGACACATTTATTATAATGATATGTACACAGTCTTGGTTCATATAAAGAAATAAATTCACAAATCAATTCAAACTGCAATTAAATCAATGTAGAGACACCGCATGTTATATGTACTGTACATCTTGTGAATATGCTAATCTATGTCATCATTCATCACTTAGAAAAAAAATCCTCTATGGCATCTTTCTTTTTTTTAAAGATGAACGAATCCTATCATTTCCCATCCAGTTTGAAATCAATTAGTGTTCTAAATCAAAAAAGTCAATAAATAGATATATTCATATAATATTTACACTTTACATCGAGTTTTATGTATTTCACTTTATGTGTTCTTTTGTACATGTTATTATCACTAAGGAAAAGAATGTATTCGACAACATGAACGACAAATAAATTCCTTTCTCACAATTAATATCAATTAACATCGACTCTTTTTTTTAGATTTTTTTATTAATATTTTTTTATGAATTGTAAGGTTCACACACAGCAGCAGCGACCCTTGTCTATAATCTGTGTGGGAAACGAGGCCCGGGATTGAGGTGTCGGGTCCTTCCAGGGGGACTGGGGGCCGGGGGGAAACAGGGGGGAGGGAGAAGTGGGCAGCCGCGCCGGGGGGGGGGGAAAAGAGAGGGAGGGGGGTATGGGTAGTAGGGGGGAAAGGGGGAGTTCATGATCCGAGTATATGTGTGCGTAGGGAGAGCTCCTGGGCTGGGGGCGAAGGGAGGGGGGGGGGCCACCAAGACTAGCACCACACTGGGTTCGCCGCCAATCGTGGGTCTCCTTTTTTCTAGTGTCCCGTATATATACACTCGGGTTAACCATTCGAGATAAAAAGAAAAAAAAATCGCCTTTGGAAAAACCGCTCTGCAGTTTCGTCCACACACGGGAGGGAAGGGGGGAGGGAGAGAAAGGGGGGGAGTTTTGTACACCTCGCCGCGAAGTACATCTGTACGAGAAGGCTGTCTGCGCAAACGTCGTATTTATTTCAACGCTGCTTAATTTTGCTTTTTCTAGTCACACACATACACGTACACAGGTAGACACACGCGTACACACAGCGCTGGATGTCACTCGATGACGATCCCGAGACGGCGCCTTCCTGCCTCGCCGCTGAGTCTCTTTCCTCCCGCGGGCGGCGGAGGCGACGCGCCCCGACCGAGGTGGGAGGTCAACATCGGGAGAAGGAGGAGGAGCAGAGAAGAGGGAAGAGAGAGAAGGGAGGGGGGCGAGAGGGGGGGGGGAGGGCGTTTCTACACGAGGGACGAGAGCGTAGGTCTGACGGGCGTGGGCGCCTGCACGGTGGTGGTGTAGTTGGAGGAGACGGGCGGGTAGTAGAGGGAGTAGGGCGGAAGAGAGGGCTGCGGGGGCAAGCTAGAGGTCGGGGGCGGCGCGGGCGGCGTGTGGGCGGCCTCCACGCCCGAGGTGGAGCCGTCGTGGTAGAGGATGGGCACGCGGACCAGGCGCTGCGCCGCGTGCGCCATGTTGGCGGCCTCCAGCTCGGCCGCCAGCTGCCGCTTCCACTTGTTGCGGCGGTTCTGGAACCAGATCTTGACCTGCGTCTCCGTCAGGTGCAGCGACGCCGCCAGGCCCGCGCGCTCCGACGACGACAGGTAGCGCTTCATGTCGAACGTGCTCTCCAGCTGGAACACCTGCGACCGCGAGAACACCGTCCGCGTCTTCTTCTTCCGCCCGCTTGCGGTCCTCGTCGGCGTCGTCCGCGCCGCCGCTGGCCGTCGTGGCGCCGCTGCTGCCCACGCCGCCCGAGCCCTCCGACTCGCCCGCCCGCGCGTCCTCCCTTGACGGCGTGGGCGGCGAGGGCGGCGGCGAGGGCGAGCGGGGCATGGGCGAGGGCGAGCGCGAGCGCACCACCTCGACGGGCGCCTCGCTCAGGGGGCTCCGGGGGCCGCCCGTCGGAGATCCTGCAACAGAAGGCGCGGTCAGACTGCGGCCAAAGCAACAAACGGGCGGGAATCACGGTTTGAAATAATAGCGGGAAATGCGCACACAGAGCTCAAACGGCGGAACAATAAAAATAACAAACAAAAGAGAAATGAGTGCATGGAGGCAAAAATGAAAGTCAGTCACAACAGAAGCAGAAGCAAAAATCGATGGAATGGCAGTTGTGATAACAAAGACGAAAAAAATGAAAACAAAAACAAGACGTCCGATTAATAAACACTGAAAGAGAGACGTTAGAAGTCAACAATGATTCAAATGTTAACATAAAACGTTGCCTTTGTTTGTGTTTTGTAATTTGACAACGCTTGCAAAAGAAGAACAGAGAAAATTATTCTTTTTCATTATTTTGTGATCCTCTCTCTCTCTCTCTCTCTCTCTCTCTTCTCGTGATCTCTCTCTCTCTCTCTCTCTCTCTCTCTCTCTCTCTCTCTCTCTCTCTCTCTCTCTCTCTCTCTCTCTCTCTCTCTCTCTCTTCCTCTCTCTCTCTCTCTCCTCTCTCTCTCTCTCTCTCTCTCTCTCTCTCTCTCTCTCTCTCTCTCTCTCTCTCTCTCTCTCTCTCTCTCTCTCTCTCTCTCTCTCTCTCCGTCCTCTATTAAAACACCAAACACTCTTCCCTCATCTCGACTCCTTTAGTCTTAAACTTTTCCTCTTTTTATTTTTGTCCCTTTTTCTCTCGTTCCTACGCCTCTTCCCTCATTCATTCCACCGCCTCGTTCCTCAAAGACTCATTTTCAAACTCACGCTCGTCTCATCTCCCTCCTGTTGGGCCTCTCTCGAGTTTCCCCTCTTTTTCTCGCTCCCCTCACCGCATCTCTCTCTCTCTCTCTCTCTCTCTCTCCTCTCTCTCTCTCTCTCTCTCTCTCTCTCTCTCTCTCTCTCTCTCTCTCTCTCTCTCTCTCTCTCTCTCTCTCTCTCTCTCTCTCTCTCTCTCTCTCTCTCTCTCTCTCTCTCTCTCTCTCTCTCTCTCTCTCTCTCTCTCTCTCTCTCTCTCTCTCTCTCTCCTTCACTTCCTCTTTCTGCCTTTCTCTTTCTCTTTCCTATTTCCGCTTTTTTTCTCCTTCTACTTCTCATTTCTTTTCGCTTCTTTCACCTCTCTTTCTCTTCTTCCCCTTCCATCCTTCTCTCCCTTCCACTCCATCCCTTTTCTCATTCTTCCTCCCCCTCTGTCTCACCCATTCCTTTTCTCTCGCTCCTTCCTCCCTCTCTCTTTCTCTCCTCCCCATTCCTTTTCTCTCCCTCCCCCCTCCATCCCTCTCTCTCTCTCCTCCTCCCATTCCTTTTCTCTCTTTCCCCTCCCTCCCTCCCTCTTTCTCTCCCCCATCCCTCCCCCTTTATCTCCCCCCCCCCCATTCCATCACTCTTTCTCTCTCCCTCCCCATTCCTTTTCTCTCTCCCCCCTGCACTCCATCCCTCTCTCTCTCTCTCTCCTCCCAATTCCTTTTCTCTCTCTTCCCCCCCTCTCTCTCTTTCTCTCCTTTCCCCTTCCCCCAATCTCTTCCTCTGTTGCCCTTCCCCTCTCTGGCCTTTTGTATGGTGGTGTTGTGGGAAGGACAATGGAGAGAGACCGCGCTTTACGTGATTTGCATATGAGCAGCATCACTCGGGCCCTCTTGCAGATAATAGAACAACTGGCTCCTCATCCTCCCCTCCTCTTCCTCTTCCTCCTCCTCCTCCTCCTCCTCCTCTCCTCTTCCTCCTTCTCCTCTCCTCTTCCTCTTTATACTCCTCCTCCTTTTCCTATTTCTGCTCTGTTATTTACATTTCTTTCCCTCAGCCTTTTTATCCCATTCGTTTCCTCTTTATCCTCCCTCCCTTTCTCCTCCTCTTCCTCTTCTTCCTCTTCGCCCTATTCCCCTTCCTCCTCTTTTTCCGAAAAAAAGAAAGGATATAGTTTCAATATACGCGTTTTTTTTTTACTCGCGACTATTATTGCATTCGCTCAATTGAATGCGTTTCCCTACATTAGCGAGATGCTTTTTTTCCCTTTTTTTATGGAGGAAGTGAAGTTGCTTCGGGGAAAATGCATATAAACAGCTCCCCAGGCAAAGATCTGCATTACGGAAGACACTCTACCAAAAGAGAAAAACGAAACAAAAAGAAAAAGAAAAGAAGAAAAAAAAAACTGGCGTAATACGAGCTCATCAAATATTAAATGCACCTTACTTTGGTACAAGCTGCGTTCGTATTCTTACGGGCCAAGGCTTTAATCCAGCTGAAAATGTCTGATTACAACGAATTTCTATCGCGCTCCAGCAAAGGCACTGCCGCGTTTACACGTTTCCGAACGCGCCGGGAAAGATAAAATGATAAATGCGACTCTACATATATCTATAAAGTCGATGTTCGTCCGTGTCAATTACCGATGTTCGACACACGCATACACCCACGAGCGCCGAGCGAAACATCGGATTCGAACAGCTTTCAGTCCGAGACAGAGGTAGTAGTTTAAACAGCTCTTCGTCAAATCTCTCCAATGTAACACAATCCTCCCCATTGTTCGGTCGCGGCGTCGACTTCGGCCTCGCGAAGGAGGTACTCATTTCACTCTCCCCTACTTCTAATCACGATCTACCACTCTAGAATTATAATGTTCGCCTCTTTCGACCGTGACGTCACTCAAATCGCGCGAAAGGGAAACGAATATCGCGGAAAAAGGCGTGCGTCGCTGTCGAAGCCGTCGGGGAAGGCAAACGGACGCGGAGGGGCTGCCATTACTAGGATTAATCCGCGTAAGTGCCCATTGTTCGCCAATCACACGCTGTGGGAGGCACGCCAAAGGAAAAGGCGCCAAAATTCAAAAAGAGGAAACTGTCTTTTGATCGTATGCTCCACAATACTATCGCTTTGATGTCAGAGTGGCATTTAGGGAATTCAAAACTGCAATTCATGCTCATCTGCTTCCACCTGAATGATAATCCTTAATGAATGTGCGTGATAAATTTTTTGCTTCTTTTCTTTACGTCTCTCACTTTTTTCGGCGAATATAAACTACGATTTAATATTTTAATAGTCTTCCTTCTCTCTTTCCCTCTTCTTCTTCCTCTTACTGTCTCTTATAGATCGAGCAGAGTGTAATGGGCAGAATGGAATGATAACACACACACGCGAACACACACACACACACGATCGTAATCACAGACACACTCCGCACACACACGCCCAAACGCAACCACACACACACACTCGTACACACGCCTCGACGCAACCACACACACACACGTACACACACGTACACACGCTCGACACACACACACACACACTACGTACACACATGCTAGAAGCAACCACACACATACGAACACACACCTAGACGCAACCACATACACACACGTACACACGCCTCGACGCAACCACACACACACGCGCACACACTCCTCAGATAGCGAGCAAAGCAACGTGGCCGAGTCTTCTATCTGCCATCTCTAATACGCAGAGAAAACCCACCGACCCGCTTACTGCGAATCGCTCCCCAAAACGCTGTAGCGCTAACCGCTAAACGCTACGGTCGCTCCGCCGCTAGACTCCCGACGCCCTTCGAAGGAACGCTCCAGAAGGGAGTCTTTTCCTCGCGTAGATATTAAGAGGTTGCAGCATCGAGGGTCGTCGCCGCCAGGAATCATTTCCTGTTCGTTCTTGGCGGCGGCTGATAAGGTCTGGCGGCGGAGGCAGCGGGATGAGGCGCGCGGGATGTGCCTTCTTGTTTTCACATTATGTCAAATAGCCACTTTTATCGTCGACGAGGAGGGGGCGGAGGAGGGGCGGAAGGGTGGGGGAATAGGGGTAGAGAAGAGGGAGTGGAGGAAGGGGAGAGTGGAGGAAGAGGAATAAGTGTAGAGGGGTGGAGGAAGGAGTGGAGAGGCGGAGGAGGGGGAGGAAGGGGAATAAGTGTAGAAGAGTGGAAGGGCGGAGGAGGGGGAGGAAGAGGAATAAGTGTAGAGGGGTGGAGGGGAGTGGAGGGGCGGAGGAGGGGATGGAGGAAGGAGTGGAAGAGGGAGAGAAGGGGCGGAGAAGGGAGTGAGGGGGCAATAGGAGAGAGTGGAGGGGGTTGGAGAGGCAGAAGAGGGGTATGACAGTATGGGGATCAGGTATTAAAAAAGGGTATTAAAGGGGTGGTGGGAGGGTATAGGGGTATTTGAGGGGGGGGGAGTGATAAACGTACAGGGGATGGTATCTCAGATAGGAGGGGGGAGGGGGAAGGGTGCCAGGAATGGAGGGGGGGGGACTGCACGTAAACTCTATCATATATGCAACTTTTTCTCATTTTTATCGTTACTTCTAGCCATGTTCGTGATGTTCATTACATAAACGTTACATAAATATAACCATATCGACGTAGGTTTTGTATGAACATAGCCTATAATGCGTATATATGCAGGCTGCTATTGATACTTATTCGGGTACGTACATAAAAACATGTAATAACAAAGACGAAATAAATGATAGTGGTAATAATAAGGATAATACTGATAATTATAATAATAACAATGATAATGATAATAATAACAATAATGATAATAATAATAATAATAATCATTAGTACTATCATTATTATTATAACGATATCGTAATAATAATAATAATATAATAATAATGACAATAATGATAATGATAATAATGATAATAATAATGAAAATAACAATGAAATAATAATAATGATAATAATAATAATAATAATAATAATAATAATAATAATAATAATAATAATAATAATAATAATAATAATAATAATAATAATAATAATGATAATAATAATAATAATAATAATAATAATAATAATAATAATAATAATAATAATAATAATAATAATAATAATAATAATAATAATAACAATAATAATCATAATATAAAAAGGCTGATGATGATAATAATAAGAATAAGAACAACAATGACAGCAATTATAATTATGATATTAGCAAAGATAATAAAAATCTTAATAGTGATACTATTAGCAAAAATAATA